TTTTTTTTTATGGTATGCATTGAGCATGTCTAAAATTTTTAAAAAGAAAAAAGAAGAAGAAGGTGGATTCGGTTTGGGTGGGCTGAGAGAATTTGTGTGTGGAAGGTAGGTGTGCCATAGTAGAGAGAGGAGGAAGGGGTGGAGGGAAGGGGGAATGGAGGAAGGGGCTGTGGAGAGGGAAGGGGGAATGGATTTCAAGGTGGGCAAGGTTAGTTGGAGCTACCAATGGCACACAAGATGGGGGAAGGTGATTTATTTATTTTCAATTTTAATTGTTTAAAAGATATACAATTTTTGTTATAATGAACTTTCCATGTTTAAAATACCCTTGAAAATAGAAAGACTAAAATACCCTTAAAATATATGGAAAATTGGATAGGTTAAAGTCATAAAACAAATCATGGATTTTGAAAAATTAAGGTGACATTTCTCTTAAATTTTTCTTTAAGGTGACAAATTAAAACTGAGGTATAAGTTCAGGTGACATTTCTACAAATTGAACTAAGGTATGATTAGCATTTCTCTTAAAATTGTTGAGCGTTAGCAAGCAAAACATACATTCACTCATGGAAATAAGAAAGAGAATGTATAAAATAAAATCAGTGTCAAATTATTTCCATGCACAACTACTTTAATTTTTAAGTGCAAATAAAATGTGAGTGCATGTTTATTTACTTGTTAACGCTCAAAAATGTTAAGAGATGTTATGAAAAGTTGTGCATGTAGCATTCTACTTTTAATATCCCAACTCCAAAGTGTCTTCTAATTTGCTTAAGTGGAGGCATAATATTGTGATTGTCATGGGAACAAGAGACAAGTCATAACAATCTATAAAAACAGAACTTGGAAATAATGGTAACATGAGCAGCTTATCCCATAGCATAAACAACCTCAGAAGATTTCATATTGAACTTCAATGAATGACCGTTTGCTTGTCAAAATTCATGAAATGTATGGAAACATTGAATATATGTAACATTCGACGAATAAGCTACAATGTGTAGAGACAAAGCTTTTGTTGGAAACAACAATCAGTATCAAACTGGCTGTCCTTGAAGAATTCATAGACAAATCTATAATCTTTCAATGCGGGACAAGAGGAAATTGAACTTCAACAATACAAGCTTTAACATCAGTTTATCATCAGTTTAACATTGATTTTCTTGCAAGAAAACCAAACGAAGACGTACCCCCCAGTGTTTAACATCAGTTTATCTTGTTTGAGATGAAGAATTCTTCATCAACACAAAGAGAGCTTTTCCATGTGGTCAGATCAGATGAAGGTCGCCCCTCCAAACACAAATGAACTATCTGCAGGACAAGATAGCTCTGATCAAAGAGCTAATAGAAAGCATATAATAAGGATGTTAAGTTTATTGCTGTCGTTAAGTATCCCTTTAGTAAAAAACATGTGCCCCTTCCACTGCCGTCAAGGGACCTTGTAAATTATCAGAAAGATTAAGATGGATGGTTCCGAGCAACGGTCTTGTGCAAAGAATATAAACAAAGGTGCCAACTTTCAAATATAAAAAAGCAAACTTACTTTTCCTTTTTTGATTTCACTAAGGTCAATTGGCAAACCTCCCCACAATCACCTGCAAGATCATGTGATGATGGTCAGTAATGAGTAATACTGTAAACTTCATAATACAAGGAACAGAGATTGGGAGAGAGTGGAGCAATACCTTGGAGAGATCTCAGCCCTATGTTTTCTGCTACAGCTTTCATTCTTTCTCGAAATCTTCAACTTCAACACATCAGAGCATGCATTTCTTGAGTTTGTTGGAAGATGATAAGGTCATTCCACCATAAAAGAGCATGCAATGCGCTTTAGTTTTCTTCAGTTGTAAATGTAAATAGAATGTAAAATTGTTATTCCCTAAGAATTAACAAGTGAAAGAAGGAGGGCTTCCATCAGCAGCAGTTACCTTGAAATCTCAAAATATACAATCCATGCCAAATTGGGTCAAGTTGGGGTATTTCCCATTGGGAATCTTACGCAGAGAGTCTAGAGATACAACAAAGAAAAAAAATTCTAATGAAATGGAACTGTAGTTCGAATAATTGCAGCAAGCAAACCTTTTGGATGTGAAAGGCACAGAAAAGGACCAACAGAATTTTACCTTCATGTGTTTTCTCATACTTTTGTTCCTCATCAGATTTTGAAAAGCCAGTGAGGATTTCAACTCGATTGCTTTCCATTTTCATGCATATCACAGCTCAACAAGATACTCCTAAGTTCAAGACATTAAGAATTGGATCATTAGATTCATCTTAGAATATGAACAAACTAATTTCCCTAGTTAACCCCAACTCATGTATGTACAAGAAAATAGAGATGAATGAGACTAATTGATACGCTAAAAACTTAAAGGGGACGACACTTAAAGATGCATATTCAATTATCAAATGTTATAATCAATGGCACAGCAATTAGGTAGATTTATATGAATCCAATTTGTGCTTTGTTTTGAATTTGAATCATAAACATCTGGTTGTGTAATACTTTCTCAACATACCTGAAAAGTTTTTGAATTGGAAATGGCATTGTATCAAATAGGAGGACGAACAGGAACTTTGTCTCTAGTAACGAGAAAAGACCCGGGCATCCATCATATATTTCTAATTCTTCAAGACATTATTCCATGTTACGAGTAGTACTGGCCCTTTCATCATGTAGAACCCCACACCCGAACGACAAGCTAAGTCTTTCAAGCAAGTAAGATGAGAAGGCAAGCTTCCTCTTAGCTTCAGACTCTTGTCTAAAGTCAGGTCCTTGAGATGAGGAAAATCTGGACACCGGCCTTCTGGTCTTCATTCCTCCCACTCTGACAAATGAGTAAATCAGATGAGAAGGAATGGATGTTATCTATTACAACAATGGGGAAGCAAAATAAATCGGGGAGAGTGCAGACCAATTGTTTGTTTATTGCCCAGTATCTCAAATTTGTGGTATGTATTATTCAGGAAGGCTGGAGTGAGTTGGCTAACATCAGAAGGGGAGGAATAGGAGGGTTTTCGACAATTATAAGGGGTTGGGGATGGAAGAGCTTCCAAATAGGGTGAGGTTCCTATCTTCACCTTGAGCATTGGTTTAATCACAATTCAGGGATGGAAGACAGCTCAAGGATAATTTCTTTGTTAAAGCTCTTACAGTTGTATTTCTCTTAAGATCAGCTGTGTTCCTGTTCTGTGATGGACGAGTACTTGTTCACTTCTGTGGTATTTTACTATCTTTTTTCAATAAAAAATGTTTCTTCTAAATAAACAAGTCATTAATGAAGTGTGCAGCATTAATATTCATTGCATAAGGAACACTTATGTGATTCCCTACCGGAGGAAAATCATAGTATTGTTCAAGACCAAGCATGGAGTTTCCTCAACATCGTCTGTCCTAGAACTTGAGCTCTCACTGGTTATTCATAAATATGTACACATTTTCATCCATCTCAAAGGAAACTCATAAATGACGTTTTCAAGTTATTACGTAAGGAAAGGAATTTTACGATGAAAGATTACCTAATCAAGAATGGACAGTGATGCTTGTTATGTTAGATTGAGATCCATTTACCGCATTGTCCAAATGCTGGTCTCTTGCTAGAGCTCCACCTTGAGAACATTTCCTTCCCCTTCTTTGCCGCAATTTGTTTGTAGAAAAACAAAAATCCATATACAATGATAAAACCCTCCTCGGGCATGGTTGCCTACACAAGTTGCTTTGACCTCCAAACATGGGAAAGTTTCTCAAGTCAGCAGGTACGCATCCAACATTTCAAGTCTCATCAAATAGAACTTTGTAGCTGAAGGAATGATTTGTGGGTCGGGAAAAAAAAAATCATTTGCAGATAAGATATTATACGCATATCTACACAATCATATAGATAAAGCTACTAGGTAATGAAGCAGCAGCTAGACCAGGGAGATGGGGAAAAGGAAAGTTGCCTCCTTTGAACCATGCGACTTGTATAACTTCCTCCATTTTTGAAGAAGCTGGCATATGTAGTTTTTTATACCACTTGAATAAATTTCCTACGTCAATCTTTTCAGTTGAACAAAACCGTTTGGTATGTATGTACATGGTAAGAAATTGTTTTTGTTTCTACTGATTTTTATATTTTGAAAGCATGTCTTAGAGGTTGTGCACTAGAGATGACAAAAATAATGCATATATTCTTCAAATATTAAATTGTCGGAAAAATAAATAAAATTGGCATCATGAAATACATGAACTATTCAGAAATTAATCTGCAAGTTTGATTCTTTGAGATTTTAAATTTTCTCGTGGTGTCTCCCCGTCCCCCCACCCAACCTCTCTGTCATTAAAAAGTTATGAGGGTGATAAGGTAAAGGAATGAAAGGAAAAAAAAGTGTTAGAAAGCATACCTCCAGATCTTCCACAAAAAGATCTAATTGCGACTTTCGATTTGTCAAGCAACTTTTGTGATCAGAACTACAAGAGTATACAGAAGATGAGACTTTTTCAGTTCAAGTTTTGTGCCATTGTACCTATGTCAAAAGTAGGCTTTTTCAGTTCAAAATAAGCAATAAGTATGGATCAAAACTTTTTCTTTTTGATAAGACACATACTTCCATTAGAAGGAAAAAAAAAATTAATTACAAAACAGGGGACAAGTTAACACAGCCTCAAAACAGAGATTAAACATCCTAACAATACATGAACGAAATTTAAATACGGTAGCACTAAGACAATTTAAACACAGATTAAACATCCTAACATTTATAACATGAACAAATCTAAATTTTTTTTTGTAATTGATGAATGATTGAGTTTTTGTGTGTTTTTCTGGAAAATGCTTCTGATCAGAAAATAGCATACTGACAATGTAATTCACAAAAAGCTGGGAATGCATGCAATTAGAAATGAGATGAAATATTAATGGAGAACAAAAAAAAAAACAAAAACAAAATTGAGCTTGAAATGTTTCCTAGCTCAATAGTAACTGAAGATTCGATTATTGACAGAGTGTGCCTATGGTGTGGTTGGTTATAAGCCAAAAATGAATATGAATTAAATAAATAAAAAATGTTAATTGGACGCAAAATTGATGGCAAATTTGGGGCAATTCAACAAATTTGTGGACATAAAAATGTGTATTTCGGTTAATTTGGATAGTGAATTTCAGTTTTTGTATTGAATTAGAAGAAAAGCAGTTAAAGCGGTTATTTGAAGTACATACCTGACCTGAGTTTGTTTGTCTCTATGTGAGAGAGAGAGAGCTCAAATCATATGATCACTTCTTCGTCTATCGTGATGCAAGGAATGTGAGAAATCTTGGCCCAATCTTGTCCCGTCTTATTCTCATACCTTTTCTTCAGGGTAGAGCAATTGGAGATGCATAGATAAGAAAGAGATGGCGGCAGACCCTCTTCTGGCAGGAATTGAATACTGTCACACCCACCAATAGCTAGAGTTTGAAGAGAAGTGAGGTGTTGAAGTGCCTCTTCTGGCAGGAATTGGAGACTCGGACAGTCATAAATATATAGCTCTTGAAGAGAAGTGAGGTGTTGAAGTGCCTCTTCTGGCAGGAATTGGAGACTCGGACAGTCAGAAATATATAGCTCTTGAAGAGAAGTGAGGTGTTGAAGTGCCTCTCCTGGAAGGAATTCCAGACTCTTACAACTATAAATAAATAGACTTCGAAGAACAGTAAGGTGTGCAAGTCCCTTTCCATCCAAAGACTTCAGAGTTGGAATTCCCTCGATCCAGAGAGCGTGAAGAGTGGTAGGGAGCAGCTGTTGCTTGAGCAACGTCTCCAAGATTTCATCACTTCCTCTGCCGACAATTTCAAATCGTTCAAGGGAGACAAGTGCTTGCAAACCCCAGTTACGGTAGTCTCCCACTGATGAAGATGACGCCCTCAGTCTCTCACAATTATAAATGTTAAAATCTCGGAGGTTGGGAGGCAAACCCCCATCTTCTGCAATTGACTCCAGATTTGGAAGATTCCTTATATCCAAATATCCAAGGGCTGTGAGGGTGTGAATGCGTTCAGGTAATGACTTCAACTTCTCGCAACTGTCGAAGTCCAATTCAGTCAAGTTGGGAGTGGGCAATCCTCCCTGCGGAAAACACACCAGATTTGGACACCCGAAGATATTCAATTGATTGAGATGACTTGGATTCTCAACCGCTCCTTCTTCTTCAATCAAGCCAAGCGAAAGCGATTCCAGATTCTCACAATTGCCAATAATAAGTGTCGTCAATTTGGGAAAAATGCCCAAGGGGAAGGACCTCATTGAATCACAGCTATCATTTATACTCAAATAGTCGAGCGATGTTAATTTGGCCAACATCTCATGAGGTAGGAATTCTAATCTCCTACAACTGAATATATTTAGCGAAGTCAACGAAGTGGGTAGGCCATCTTCAGGGAACGACGACAGGGTTGGACAATTCAAGAGAGTCAAACTTTGAAGACGATTGATGTTGGGCAAGCATTGTATGTCATTAAAATTTATAATCCTAAGTCGGGACAGGAGTTTTGTCTCTAGTAATGATAACAGACCTGTTTGGCATCCATCTACTATTTTCAATTCTTGAAGAGAATTGTAGTTGAGATTGGTACTAGTACTAGTAAAACTCCACACCCTTTGATCATGTAAAACTCCACACCCTTCCACGCTAAGCTTCTTCAAGCAAGGCAGATCACAAGGCAAGCTTCCTCTCAGCTTCGGACACATTCCTAGAATTAGCTCCTGGAGATGAGGAAAATCTGGATCTCTACTCCCACTTGGTACCCATTCCTCCCACTCTGCCATCTCCTTAAACTCCAGCCTCTCCAACGATTGAAATGGCTGAAATGGCTGACCATACAACTCAGGACCTAACGTCCTAAGAAATTTCATCTTACATATGAAGAGCTCCTTAAGAGCAGGTAGCTGTCCAAGCGGTGGCAACTCGAAGCAATAATGACAGCCTTCGAGGCGCATAACTTTCATTTTATTGAAGGTAGAGTCTCCCAACCAGTTTGGAAAGCTGGTCCCGCCATAAAGTTTGACGGTCAATTTCTCCAAATTCATGCAAGGTTGGAGCTTGTCAAGTACATCTCTCACCTTTTCGGAATGATCGGCATCTTCGGAGTCCCATGCCAACTCTAACTCCTTGAGATCTTTCTTGTTCTTCAAATTAGCTTGCAAGGCATCCCTACCATCAACTACATTATTAAGCTTCAAAATAGAAAGTTTTCCTTCAAGATGAGACAACTCCCTCAATTCTCCAATAGTCGACCCATTAGATTTCCCCACACAAAAAGTAGTCAATGTTCTCAAACTTTTTAGTCTACCCATTTGCACCGGCATTTCTTTAATTTGTGTTCCACTACAATCAAGATGCCTCAAGTTAATCAATTTCCTCATGTATGTAGGCAATTCAAAAAGAGACCGACAACCTGCCAATAGTAATGTTTGTAGACTATAGAGAGTGCAAACTGTGGCAGGCAACCTTTTGATTCCAGTATTAGAGAGATCCAAGTAGCGCAAATGAATGAGGTTACCAATAGAATTCGGTAACTCAACAATATTATCATATTTTGACAATTTTAGCACCCGTAAACATAATAGAGATGGCATTAACTCATGTAAAACCTTTTTACTTACATAATGCTGAATCCATCTTCTTAGAGGTAGGAAGGTTCGCAAATGCTTAACCTCATATAATGGCTCAAATTTCGCAGCACAATCAACTTGCCCTCTAGCATACGACAAATGCCGAACTCTTTTCAAAACTTCATGTGATTCGCCCCCTTTCCATCTCAAACAGGATTCCCTTGACACAGACATAGCTAAGTCATTGATGAGATCATGCATTGTGAACTTCTCATTTCTTGATCTTTGAAAAAATGATCGTGACAATAAGTCATCAAAGTATTTCTTAGTGAGCTCTTCCATTCTTTTCTCACTCTCAGCTTGTGGAATTAAACTTTCTGCCACCCACAGTAGAACTATATCTTCCTTTTGGAATTCATAGCCCTTCGGAAAAATTGAGCAATAAGCAAAACATCGTTTTAAATGAGTTGGGAGATAATGGTAACTCAATCTTAGAGCTGGAATTGTATTACATATTTCAGGAGGCAACTCCCAAACATTGCTATTTAGTATGTTATTCCATTCCTCATAATTTGTGTTGAAACGCAAGAGGCCTCCAAGTGTTTCTGCAGCTAAAGGTAAACCATTGCACTTCAGGGCAATTTTCTTACCAACTTCTTGCAGGTGTGGATGTGCACTCAAGTTTCCATTTTCAAAGGCGTGTTTTGAAAGTAACAACCAGCAATCCTCATCGGACAGCTGTTCCAAAAAGTGAATCGGAACGGGGTGCATGCGACCTGCAACACTTTCGTTACGTGTTGTCACGATGACCCAACTTCCCCTTGCCCCGGATGCAAAAGGACGTTGCAAGAGACTCAAATCCTGATATTTCTCATTCCAAAGATCATCCAACACAAACAAAAATTTCTTGCCCTTTATTTGTTGTCCTAGCTCAACTTGAAGAAAACTCAGGTCTTTATTATCGTAAGCTTCTGAACTGACTGACTCAAGTAGGGTCTTAGTTACCCTAGTAACATCAAAAGCTTCCGAAACATAAGCCCAGGTTCTAAGATTAAAATGCTCTTTCACTTTGTCATCATTATAAAGGAGCTGAGCGAGGGTTGTCTTGCCAACCCCGCCCATTCCCACTATGGTGACGACAGATACATCCTTGTTGCTTGCATCATCAGATAACAACAGTTTCATCAGCTTTTCTTTATCTCCATCCCTACCGTACACACAAGATTCATCCACCAAGGAAGTTGTCGGAGTTCTTTGTGAAATCTTCATCCCAACAACACCTTCTCTCAACCCAAGGAAATCCTTTTGCTTTGCAAGGTGCTCTAACCTTTCAAGCAACTTATGTATCCTACCATTCATGCCTTGATAATTTTGATTAAGATAAGTAGGAAGGAAGTTCCACACCTTATTTGTGACGGTTTGAGATTCTGCTTCCACCTTGCATCGCAAAACTTCAGCATTGATCTCATCGAGAAGGTCATCCGCATCAAAGACAGCATCTTGAAGCTCATCAAGCCACTTTTTCACGTAGCTGTTCAGGAATTGCTTCTCCTCCGCGTCATTAAGCACCGCATTAAGGCTCAACAACGTTATCTCCAGTTTCTTCACAAGCGACTCGTCCAGTTTCTTTCTCCGGAACAAGTCCACGAACTCGCTGGAACCAATCTTGTCAAACAGCACCTGCACGGAGGCAGAGAGAATAGCCTCTCCAACCAAAGCCATGTTTCGATTCTTTTCAAAGGATTTGGACTTGAGTTAAGATTTGAAGCAAGCTTTGCAGCAAAGGATTTGGCTGTTGAGAAGTTAAGATTTAT